ATACTGTATACAGTACAGTTTGCATACAGTAATATGTTTATGTTCCTAAATCAATCTCTTTTATGAGCATGTGAAAGGCATGGTGAATCGGAGATTCTCAAAAATTACTGTACTTTGCATGATTGGAAACAAATGTGTGATTGCGAAATGCTATGGTGTTACTTATGCAAAGACAGTCAATGAAAAACAGAATGTGGACCAGGGCAATACTTTGAGTTTACAACTTGTCCAAGGTCATTCATTATTAATGCTACTAGTAATATCTTCATTAAAGACTTTGATGGCGACAGCTCAAACATGAGAGGTTGAGCTTTATTAGCTCCACCTTGCGGAAATTCCGGATACTATTATTTTCTTTGCGGTACTATAGAGAATTTACGGTAACTCGCGGTAGACTGCGTAAAGCGAACCGCAAAATAATGCGGTATCACCCGCTTGTTTGGAATGGCTGCATCTGTAACTACAGCTACCTCAAGGAATTAAATTGATGATATAACAAGAAGGAGAGTATTGACTTATACTCATCCATTTGTAACTCCCATGCAGAACGATGGGGAACATCTGACTGAGTCCATTGTTGTGCTGTCCAATCTGTGCTCTGCTAGCTTGGTGCCACTCCAGTCCTTAGGCAGCTTGGGGTATTGGGGAGAAGGAGAGATCTGCTGTAGCATCACACTGACAGTCAATTCTGTCAAATGATTTGCCCAGGTTAGCTTTGAGAGTGGTGACTGCTCAGCTGCTCAACTGGGGTGAGTCACATAAAAAGAGGAAAACTCAGTTTGCTCCCAGTGTAGCGGCTGCTACTGAATTATGCTCTATAGAAGCATGTCAATGAAAAGTCCAACCATATTGCTCTAGTGATCAAGCAGGCACATGGTGGTAATTAGCTGGTCGCAATGTCCTTCTGCAGGCTAGACCTGTCTAGAAAGGCAGAATTCTGTCTTTATGTATGGGCTCACCCTCTGTGCTTTTGGAAAAAGTGTAAGTCCCAAAGTTCAGAGAACAAGTGTGACAGACACATGATTCTGGTGTCAGTCAGCCAAGTTTGTTCAGCGAAGAGGGGGGCGGGGGCGCAGTTAGAGGTGATGTACCAGTTTTTAACTATGGGAAAATATGGGTAGTGATTGTGAAGAAGGTGGAGAGGTCCCCTTTGTGCTTCTTTATCGCCTCCCTCCCACCACCCCATCTTCACTCTTGCAGCCTCTTTCTAGCTCATTCCTTGTGATGGTGGTGGAGCTGTCAGCCTTGTCCAGGTTATTCCAAATAAACTTTAATACGTTTTAAATTTGCAATGTGTTTTGTCCCTATACCCCATTAATTTACACACTGTCTTCTATCAATATAATGACTTTAAAATACTTCCCATCACAAAGTTATCTGTTGAATATTGTGTCATATGGTTACCTTAAACATTCCTTGTCTTCTGAAATTTAGAGAAATTGAAATTATACACAACACAATGTACAATGTCTAAGGGGAACACCAGTATGAATAGATCTTGTAGTCTATATTAAAAGCTTAAATAGAGGAGTATCTGGATTAAGACTAATAGGTCTTGTAAGAGCATGTGCCCCTTTACAATCTGCAGAGTATAGATTTTATTTAGTTCCCTTTACATAGGAATTCAGACATTCAAATATGCAATCTATCTTAATACCCTAAATGAAGAAAGAAGTACAATTCAGGAGGTATGCAATCAATGCCAAGAGTGTCATGTCTTGAACCATCTCCTTTAGCTGAGACAGGCACAGAGACATCTCCTATACAGTCATCTCTGAAGGAGAAAGACTAGTAAATGAAGAGATTAGAGAAACATTATACATATTACTAAATCATATTGGAGATCAATTCTGTATGGGATCTGATCTGTTTCTGGTCTAATGAAAGGAATATCACTCAAAATGTTCTTTGCTGTTGAGTCTGACAAATAGGTTGATTCGTTTAATAATTAATGGGGTAAAATGTGTTGTACTTCTAGACCTGATTTCATTTAGAAATAATTTAATTAAGTTTTAAAAACTAATTCTTCTGGCTGGTCCTAAAATACAGTTGATTGTATAACTGGTACATGAATTTGAAAAGACGTCAAAGTAGGGAACTTGGTCCTCATGTGCACTACAAGGGAAGAAGTCAGGATTATTTCCAAATTTCGAATATTACAATGAAAAAACAAGAGCTATCATTCATGCCAGGCAGCATCACCTACAAATATATATATATATGAAATGCCCTTCTGACTGTTTCAATATTACCTATAGATCTTAAGTATCTAACCATCTCATTTGCTGCATGTGTTGCATAAAATGTGATGCCATTTACACAGGCGAAACAGGAAGAAAACTGGCCAATCATTTCAAAAACATGTCAGAGTATTGAGGAGCAAAGATATTTCCCATCTTATAGTCCCCCATATAACCTCTCCTGGCCTTGATTACATTGATCTTTTTGTCTGTGTCCTGAAAGACATCAGAAGTCAAGATTATTCACACACTTGTATCACACACTCCTCCTTTCTCTCTGTAAGAGACACATTTATTTTTAGAACTGCACAGATATCAGCTTTTCATACCAATCCACTAGATCTCCGTTTTTCTAGACTGTTTTTAAATAATTCATTAAAAGTACGATTTATTTTCCCATGGTCAATTTATATATAAAATTGTAACATTATTGAAGAACATGTTAGAGCTAAGAAGAAAATCGGGCCTATAAGTTATTCTTGTAGGATATGCAAGTAACTGTATTAAACTCATCATAAATATTCAGTTATTGTGGCCTTTTCTTCATTTACCATTTTTGAAAATTCTTGTAAGTAGATCTCGTCTTAAGATCTCAGATAACAGTTTAAGAACTTTTCTTTTCTTTTCTTAAATACAGTTGAACCAACTTGTCCAGGAGATCTAATATTTAACAAAAATGAAAAAGCCTTCATGGAAACCTGCTCTAATCCTGTGTTACCATCTGATGTACCATATACAAAGACTTGTATATGTCCAACTGGTATGCTTTTTATGATTACTTCTGAATGTCATATTCTCTTGTATATTTATTAATGCCACAAAGTTTTGAGAACAATCTGAACTCTTTTTTCAGTATTGACCAATAGTATGCTTTATCAATGATACCATATGGTGATAGTATTGACTCACACTTTCCTATGTTTTTCTATGTTATTACAACTCCAGAATAAACACTGCACCATATGTTAAATCTCTCTCTCTCTTTCTGCAAACTCAGATGCAACAAAATACAAAATAGGGAGCTACAAAGCCTCCCTATTCTAAAAATACACCCTAAGCAGGAAAGATGTCTCTAACTGAGTTATCGTTTTGCCCAGGAAACCCAAGTTCCCTAAAAACACAGAATAGCAAGCTCTCTCTAATAAGGTTCAAATACTTAGCTCCATTCAGATTTAGGTTGGATGATCATGAAGTAGGGGCTCTCACCTGGTGCAAGATTCAAGTTGCAACTCCTCCTTGTGGTCTGACTTTCTTTCTCTACTCTCTCCTTTTCTCATACTTTTCTTGTTTCTTCTCCTCTGCAGTCTTAATGTGATCTTATATGGTGTGTTTCTGGATTGTTCATTGATAATCATAAACATGACATCACAACTTAATTACCTAGGTATGCCAAGATAAACTTTTGTTGTCAATCAGGGGATATCCTACATTTCAGCAAACATCCCTTTGCTTTGAATCTTGAAGTGTTTTCACTGCCAGGTGTCACAACCTTTATCTAAACTCTAAGAGACACCAGTCACCTGTAGCTGTAACTATATATCTATAAATTGCTGTTAGTATAAAATACTGTACTGTATATTAGTATGAGGTCCACAGGATTACTTTTGTTTAACTGTAAAGATATTTGCAACATTACCACATCTGCTTTTTGCCTACAATGACTGATGATCAGTCTAACCAGCTATCTAAGCAGATACTTGTGATCAAGTATCAAATTAGCTGGTAAAAAACTCAGAATGGTACAACATTCAAAAAGCATTTCTTACATTAATGTTCAGATTTTGGGGATATTAATAATGATGATTATCAATATACAATTATAGATGAGAAGGAGCAATTTTACCCTTCTTGCTTATTGGGTTGCTTGTAGCTGAAGTAGTCTACTGGACTAACTTTGCCTGTAGCTTACAAGATTGTAAATACTTTAATCTGCTTGTCTACTGTCTTCCTCATTTAAAGTCTAAAAGTCTTTAAAGTCAATATAAACTGTCTGTATATGAGTTACCTGTATGATCTGGAATTAGTTTGGTTGGTTTGAACCCTTTCCAGTGCAGCAGTATCCTTTTAGTTGCATGGTAGCAAAACAGTATTTACAATTATAATGAAATAATTTGTATTACTAACATTATAGGAAAAGTCCTTAACGATCTTGAAGGAATAAACCAGTGTGTGGAACTGCAGGACTGTCCCTGTGTATACGCTGGAAAGGTGTATCCTGCTGGTTATAACCTTGAAACAAAGTGCCAGAAATGGTGAGTTTCATACATAAAGAATTGAAGTGGTGTTTTTAACATCTGTTATATTTTACCGTTTACCACCTTAAATGATTAAATCTTGTTGCTTTACAGTGTTTGCAAAGATGGGAAATGGGGTTGCTCTCAGAAAAAATGCCCTTCAAGATGCAAAATTGAAGGCATATTTGTAACTACATTTGATGGCAAAAACTACAGAATTCCAGGAAAATGCCAATATTTTGTTGCTCAGGTAGTAAAAATTATTTACAAATTCTTTATGCTTTATAGAAATCAGCACAGTACTGCTAAAAATGTATATTTAGATAGTTACAGTCTAAAATATAAAGGTTTCTGTCATTTTACCAATACTATGTCTTTTGCGGACCGTTTTCTTTTTGCATCCGTAAAACCTGGGTAGAGAATTATTTACAAAAATAAAATATTGTATACAGATTTGGGATTTTAATTACATTTTTGTTAGTTAATAATTCAGTCATGGCCAACTGATATACATTTGTGTGCCTCTGATTATTCATAAGCAATAAATCTCCTCATTAGTTAAAGAGGTGATTGGGCTCAAGTGATAAAGTGATTGATAAAGAAACTAATATGCCCCACTTATCAATAAAACAGTGCCTTTTTGCCATCGGTTTACTGGTGCAACACCTCAGGTGAACTTTATAATACTTTAACCAAGTTATCTTTAGCAATTAATCAATGTTTTGTGAATACTACTCTGATAGATATGTACTAATTCTTATTACAACATCAATAAGTAAGTCTAAGTTTAATGGTCTAGACAGGTATTTCTATTTGAAAGAGAAGTCCACTTGTAGTTATTAATGATAACCTGACTTCATGGGGCTACTTTAATGAACTCATAGGACCTCACTTGCTGCCGTTCTTATGGGCTCATGCTACTTGTGCTGTTAATATCCTCATAATCTTGTGCAACTCTTTTACCTTCAAATCCTAGCTTCAGTCGGTACACTGTGCACTTTATCTCATATATTACTTTGTCTGCATCGTCCAGTAATGCCTTTTCGACTATTAAGGACTGGACTGTTGCAAAACTATAACAGACTCTTTACAACCACAATATTTCTTTTTAAAAATACCCCAAAGAAGGAACATTTTTTCATTATTCCTTTCCAAGATTCACAATAAATAAGCACCTGTCCATCAGCCTGCTTCCACATCTGGTGATGATGTCACCTGTCATGACTCCACTCCAATCAACATTTCTGATCTTGCTGCTGAATTAAGTAGCCATCCTGATCCCATGTTTGTGTACTATCTCCCACATTTCTTGTGTTTTGGTTTTTACTGCTGGTTTATGTATTCTTCCTACTCTCCTGTCTATAAAAATCCTCCATCTGCCACTTCTGACCTGGAATCACTAGAACCCAATCTTCAACATATCTTTGCTGTATGCTGGTTAGGTAACTTTTACTTTGCATGTTACTTAACCTTTGACTGCAGGAGCAGCCCAGAGACTTTCAACACGCTAAACACTCTAAAGCCCTCTGTTGGATCCTGCTGAATAATTACAAGCCTTCATATCTTCTTCTCCTCTTTTGTCACAATCTTTTGTTTGAGTTATGATTGTTGAATTTCCATGCTTTTCTATTCCATTATCTTTGGGAAATTAAATGATTAATACAAATTATGATATTGACAAGCTCTGTAGTCAATGACCATTTAAAACTGTGACTTGGACCAGGGTGCTTATACAGCATAGTGGATGCTCTGGTATTCTTTAGGAGATCAGTTCAGCAGGGTATAATATCATTTAGTTTAGATTAATCATGTGCAGTAGTTATCATCTACTTTTGGGTGATCAGTGGTGGTTTTGTAGACTTTTTTCTTGTTTTTGACTAACTGTTTTTAATTGCTCAGCAGCATAGTTAAGATGACTTCTATTCCTTAAATGTGATTTTCAAATGTGATTATTCATCATCAGAAAGGTGCACAATACTTTAAATGTGCATTTTTAGTTCCAATAAATGGGGTATTTGTTTCTATTTTATGTATAGTAGTTCAAAGATATTCTTTTATTTGCTTTAGCTTGCGGTGTGGCGAATATAAGTGTTAAATCTGCTCAAAATCTTAATTTTGGCCAATACAAATTACTGCATTAATATAGAAAATATTTCAATATATTGGAAACTGGATCACAGTGACGAGGATATGAGAACATACTGTATGTGTATGTTTTAAGATGTATTTGTGTTTTAGTTAACATCGTTCTGTGCTGGAATGACAATGTTTGATTAAACTTTTAGGCCCTACTTCAGTCATAGTGATACCACTAAAAGCATCAAGCAAACTTTATATATTATTTTATATTGATGAAGGTTTCTTTACTGAAGCTTGGCTTTCTTTTTATCGTATTTAATTTACAGGGGCTTAACTGGTCTCTTACTGTTGAGTTTCCAGAGAATCAAATTTACTTAAGCAGCATTAAACTTGAACTTTACAAGGTAAGGTTTTTTTCAATTATTGATACTGCTCTGTACTGAGAGATACTGCAGTTGAAATAAATAATTATTGTTATAAAGTGTACGCATTTCAATTTGACTTTATAAATATGTAGTACTTGTATGTTATAAATATATTTTATATATGGACTTTATATATGGACTATTTTATATATGGAAACGTGAATGGAAGAGCTAATAAAATTTTGCATATCAATTCTCAGATAAAAACATAAATAATTATTTGCCACACAAATATCCAAGGAATTCAACTTTTCTTGCAAACAACTATTCACATAATTTAGTTAGTCTTTGCAAATCTTATGAATTAATTTCAGTGCCACAATAAAACCGGAAATTAGAACAGTAAATCAAGTACATGAAAAACACTTACTTATACAAACTAAAACATACTGTACATATAGTTTTTTTAATGTGTACTGTTACATCCATAGTGTTGACATAAAATAGTAATATTTTGTAACAGAGTTTTTTAACCTACTGTACACAACATATACTGTATTTCTAGAAGATGTGATTGATACTTTGTTCACAATTGCAGGAACTCTATGAATTCTCCATATCAGACAAAAACAATCTTAAAAAATATGAATTCTACCAATCAGGTGAGTTCCAAATAACACATTGACAATAACATAGTTGAATTGTTTAAATAAATCAGACTTTCTGATGTATGTGAACATTTCATTTAATTACTATTTACTACATTGTTAAGTAATATTTGGAGCATAAATGATTGCTTAAGTCTTCAGGTTTTTTTTTGAAACATGTTTAAACATGTTTTAAACACAGATTGTAATTTTGCAACATTTTATTCACATTTATTTGTTAATATGAAGTGTTGCAGTAGTTAATCCATACAAAGTACTACATTTAATTCATTGACAGGTTCAGCATCATTTGTTCCTTTCTATACATGCATAAACCTTAAAAGCTATGTTTTGTACTATAAAATTAGTCTTATCAGGATTGTTAACTTAGAAAATGGTTAAAATTTCAAAAGAAGGTCACCACAGAATTGTTTGTCCATGAGGAACAAATAACTTTGAGTGAAAAGTGTCAAATATCTATTCATATCTATTATTAATATTACTACAGTGTCAAATATCTTTAAGATTCATATGACAATGTATTACTGTACAAAATAATGTTAAAAGAACATCAATGCACCTGCACAGCTGACAGAATATTATTTCTTGAACACTGATGTCACGCCCTCTGCAGCCAGAGGGCGCTCCTTCTCTGTCCTGTCCCTAGTTTCCGGTCTGCTGTTCTTCTTGTCCCTCTCTTTCCCTTGGGCTATATATTTCCGGGTCTTGCACTCTGTCCT